TTGGAAGAGGAATAGTAATGATTGGAATTTTAATTATATTGAGTTAACCCCTTATTACAGCTCTCTTATCTATAGATTCCTTATGTGAGATGTGGCTAGTGTTTATTCTTACTCGATTTATGTGGATCATTTTGGTTGCTCTAAAAGTTTTGAGCTGGTAGGCTTCTCTAGGGATTTTATGACTTCTCTTTTATGGGCTTTCAGCTGGGATAGCTGGGATAGTTGTTTCATTTTTGGTAGTTCCTCGGGTGTGAAGTATCAAGCTTTAACCTCTCATCCTATCTACTTGATTGCTAATTTCTTGGAATACATTTGGTTTGTGGATCTAGGGATTAGATTTGAGTGGCGTTTGGGGTTACATCATGATGATGTTGTTATTTGTCACCTGAGCTATTCTCATATTAATGATCTCAATTATCTGGCTTACCCGTGCCGTTTTGCTAAGGCATTGAATTCTAGTTTGCTAGATTAAAACTTTTATTCCAGCTGGTGTTTGGCTTACCCGTATGATGTTTTTATTGATCCTTTTAGTCCTGGCCTGAACTGTTGTTTGTCTATTTTGATGAGGCTATAAATCTAGGTTGTGAACTGGGTTCTTTGATATTGCAATCAATTATGGTAAGATTATGGGAGTTATAGTTCATGCAGTTACCTTTTATCTTGGCTACCAGTTTTCTGTCTACCTGGGCTGATGTTGGCTTTCGATTAATAGGATTTTTTATATCTGGGAGATGGCTTACCCATTTCCCATTTTAGTGCTATTAACTATACTATTCTGATTAGTTTGACGGGTATCCAGTGTGGCCGCAATCTGGAAGCATTTTGCTTTATTATTTTGGGTCCCTGTTGATGTTATCAATGCCGAATTTTCTGCCCAATTTTCTATTGTGGCTTTAATTTCCTACATCTTAACCTTCTTCTGGACGGCTGCAATAGTAAATCACTGCCCGATTTTTTGAAGTGGCATCGTAAAATTTTGGTTTCTAATTACATGAACTCTAATGGGTGTCCAGTTCATTTTCAAGGAAGTATCTGCTTTGAATTTTTAAAAATTTGGAACCTTAAATATTTATATTTGATTACTCATAATCTTGTATATTACCTGCCATATTTTTATATGTTTTGCAGTTTGACATTCATGCAGGTGAAAGGATTCGAGATTTGGAGTTTTGCTGGATTTTTGCAGGAAGACAGTGCCGAGTGTACTTTCTTTTTCTTCCTTTTTTGGGCCCTGTTTTTGGCAAGCCTAGAATGCTATTAGGGTTTTTTTATATTCTGTAGAAGAGGGAACTATCGGCTCATAGGTTTTATTTTGAATTTTTTGTAGCTCTTTTGAGCAGTAGGGAGCTGAAGGTTCTCTTTAAGGACATTGTAATTTCCTTTCTTAATTAACGTGTTGGCCTCTTTGTGAGTTTCTCCTAAAAAAAGTGTTCATAGAACACCACATGATGTGAAATGTAGAGATGCTTAGCTGGAGGATGAAAATAATGATAGCCCTTATGAGATGTGGAATAACCCAAGAAGATACATTCATGGGATCGAGGTGTTGATTTATTTCGGGCTTGAGGTTGTAACCAAGGAAAACAAAGATATCCAAATGTACGTAGATGAGTGTAAGATGGTTGAGTTTTGTTGAGCTCTTAGTAATGAATATTCAATGAAAGAGCTTTTGTGGGGAGATGATTGATCAAGTAATTGGTGGTGGTAAGAGCCTCTGACCCAAAATTGTAAAAGAAGATGTGCAGCATGCAAGAGAGTTCTTGTAAGATTGAGTAGATGACAATTTTTAAGCTGGACAACACCATTTTGCTCGGGGGTATAAGGACAACTAAGTTGAAGGGTAATTCCATGAGTTAGCAAGTAATTTTTGAATTGGTTGCTATTGAACTTGCCTTCCCCATCAGACCGAAAAGTGAGAATAGTGGAGATGGATTTTGTTTTAACTAAATAGCCGAATTGCTAAAATTTATTAAAGGTTTATTGTTTGGAATGCATTAAATATAACCAACAAAATATAGTAAAGTCATCAATGAAAATAATAAAGTATTTATAACCATTTAAAGATGGCATGTGTGTAGGTCCCCAGACATTAGAATGCAATAAGTGAAAAGGAACTTTTGAAGAAGAGGTGCTTGCATTAAAAGATAGTTTGTGGCTTTTGGCAACATTACAGAAAATACATGAAGAGGTGGACAGTAAAGTATATAAAGAGGGGGTAATATATTTAACTAATACATATAACAAATAATGATGTGGATGACCAAGTCTGGCATGCCACACAGACGATGAGAGCTAACTAGCTTGAAATGCTTTGGCAGAAGGAGACAAAGAGGTAGAAACTTGATAAAGACCACACGACTGAACCCATGAAGAAGAGGTTGAATGTCCTAAAGCTCCTTGATAACAAAGCCATTATTATCAAAGGATATAGAGGCATTATTGTCAGAAGTGAGTTTAGATATGGAGAGTAAATTATGAGACAAAGATGGAACATGAGGAAGATTTTGAAGATGAAGCTTACAGGAAGAGTCATGTAGAGGGAGAAGACCCTGGCTGCTGTTTTGAATAGGTAGTGAACTCCCATTAGGGATAGAAACAGAATCTGAACCAAATTAAGGTGCCAACTATTACAGATTTGAAGCATCCGGGGTGAGGTACGTTGATGCTCCTGAATCCAAAACCCATTCAGTCATTGCAACTGTTGATTGTGGTTGGAGTTGAGTCATCACAGCTCGAGGAATCCATTAAGTTGTAGGAGCAAACTGCAGATTACACCCATGCCAACAATTGAGGGCTATATGTCCAGTCTTACCACAAATTTGACAAGATGGATGAGATGTTAGAGTCAGAGGACCTTTAGCTATTAGGCGAACTAGGTGGACGAGGTTGAAATCCTCTATCACGAGGGAATTGTGAAGTGTTAAATCATGGACAAACTGATCTAGGTTGAACATTGCAGCTGGAAAGTAAGGTCGTGGCATCGGCTGCTGGTGCAGTATCTCTGGATTGCTCATTTTGAAGAATGATTTCTTCACTACACAATAAGGAGTACAAAACTTCCAGGGTGATGGGATTCAAATTTTGCAAATGGATGTCTTAAAGGCATTATACGTGGAAGGTAGTCCATTCAAGGTATAGAGAAAGATTTCCTCTGTATCTATTTTACATCCACCATCAGAAATATTATCCACAAGTGATTTAATCTGAGCAAGATATTGAGTCATGGACTTATGCCTCTTCTAAACATTGTGAAGTTCATTCCTAAGTTGCATGACTCGTGACCGATTTGTCGGTTGAAGTAGTTGTTCTAGCGTGAGCCAAACTTCACTTGCAGAAGAAAGAGTCAGCAAATAGGGTAAAATAGAAGGCGGTATCGTAGAAAATAGAAATGAAATTAGGTTTCTATCTATAAGAGACCACGCTTTTTATTCTGCTGAAGATGAGTCGGCTGATACTGGTTGAGTGCCTGTAAGATAATATTCAAATCCATTTGCAGAAAAATGCTGGAAAATTTGTAACCTCCAAATAGCATAGTTATCATTGGTAACTTGGGTTGGAACTATATGTTTGAGATTGGAGATAAGGAGCTTCAGTGAAGGAGGAATGGTGAGCTCAGTGACAGAAGCTGAAAAATTCGAGTTCTGAGGAAGGGAGCGGGTAGATTCTTTGTTTGCCATTAAAAAGAGATAGTTGCTTTTAAGCAAAGAAGCTCTGATGCCATGAGAAAACCTGTAAAACAACAATAAACAGAGAAGAACAAGAGGAGATGTAGTCATGTAGAGAAGAAAAGTAGTTTCACATAATGTAGCTACTGTTGTATTGATATAGCTACTTCATTACATAACAATGGCGTACATATATAAGAAGATAAGGCTGGACAGTTAGTTAGAAAAGGAGAATATGCAAAGCTGCCATAGTCACCTGCAGAAAGAAGAGAAGGTGATGGAGTGCATTCGGCAACATGTGGTCTAAAAATGCTAGCATGGCATAGGTGCACTAACAAACTGGTTGGCTAAGAAAAATGTTCAACCCAAATGCTAAATGGAAGGCCATAAAGGGTAAATCATTTCCATATTAGTGTTCAATTGTTGCACAAATTTTATTCATTTATACAAGGGAAATTTTTTATTTCCAAGATTTACCAAAATAAGTATAAATGGGTTTTAAATTTACATAAATATTTAATATAATTAGTATTTATTACGTTCAATCTCAATTTGACCATCAAATCGTGAACCCCTCTTTCATATGATGTTTTGTCTGATTGTCACAACTTTAATAATAACATCAGATCAACCATGACTCCATTAAATTACACAGAAAAATGACAACTTTTTTTACAAAGTATTTTCGATTGACTATATCAAACTTTTCTTGCATATCACATTGATTTTTTTATTTTTTATTTTGGCCCTTTTTCTTTCACGTCTCTTTCTTACGATCAAAACAAGGCTTCCCTTTGAAGATATCAAATACAGATAATCTTGCCAAGGTCTCCTCTCTAATCAAGAATAATTCTACGTGTGCTCATCGCGAATTTGACTCGGTTCTCCTTCTCAGCGTAGCCCAGTCTATAGTTTGAAGTTAAATAACATTTTTCTGTTGATTTGAACTTGCGACACAAAGGACAATTTTTCATAAGAAATACTTTTATAAGAATTGATAAGAGCAGTGAATAAAACATTTTCATAAAAATAAAAATTTTCATAGAGTACTGGCGGAACCAGATAAAGGCTAGGGGGGCAATTGCCCCCCCTCAAAAAAAAAAAATTTTTTTTATAAGAGAAAAAAAAAAAATTTATAAGAGAGTAAAAAAAATTTTTTGCCCCTCCTAAAAGCTAAAGTTCTCCTTTAACCATCATATTTTCTCCTTTATATTAACACGTCAGAGAAAAAAAAATGTTATTATTTGATTTCCCCACAATGATCATATTATAAAAGATTGCTGCAAACTCCCATTTTTAGCTTGCCGGATAAGAGGGAGAGAGGGAAAGAGAGAGATGGGAGGGGAAGATGAAAACAAGTGCAGGCCTGTGGGTTTCTTGCTCGCTCTACCTTTCGCTTTCCTCGCTTTAGTCTTTTCTATAGTAGGCGCCATCATTTGGACTATCGGGTAATCAGCTCAAACACCTACTTCCTCTTACAGCACCAACCCCCCACCTCCATAAATAACTATCTTCTTCTGCTATTTTTAACCATGATGGAAGCAATTGCAGGACTGTGCTGAGTTGCTTGTGCCCATGTTGTGCGTGCTGCGCTGGGCTGGTGAATTTGGCGGTCGATCTCATCAAGATGCCTATAAAGATCATCAGATGTTTCATCGAGCAAATCCCTTGTTAGAGGGCTTATAAGCGAATGGCTGATTTATTTGTCTGTCGTTGAGCATATTTTTTTCTGACACTGAATTATTTCTTATTTCTAATATCATTGTAGTATAGTAATTTTGTTCGTGGTTAAAGCGAGTGTATGTACTTTATATATTTTACGAGAAAAATAAAGAAAGTGGCGTTGTTTGTTTTTATTAGTTTTTTTGGATTGAAATAGCCTTCATTTTTAAGTTATGCACAAAGGAATGGTTAGGACTGTGAAATTGGCCTGAGTTTGAGATCTTCTGTAAATTGAATTATTTATTCATTTACTTTTGGATTGATCAAGCTCAATGAATACATACATGAGGTCTGTTTGATTTAAAAAAAAAAAAGTTTTAAATTTTGTTAACTTCCCTTTCCCTTCTCCATTCTTCAAATATAAATAGATTCTCATGGAGGAAAAATTTACCCCTCTCCTTCCTCTAAACTTTAATTTTTTATTTTTCAAGAGAGATTTTTCACTATCTTGTATAACTCCTTATTTGGAAACTCAAACAGAATCCTAAATAAGCAATTAGTACCCCTTTTACATTTTGTTGTGCTTCTCCACAACAATAATGAATTATCATTCAAAGTTATTGAAAAAACTCATCTATATCAACTTTTTCTTTGTATGTTTTTATTATACCTCCTAAAGATGCTCGAAGTTGCCTTATATTGATGATGCATGCTTTCTCCTTCAGTGGCTCTAGCAAAATATTATCTTGAAAAGGCTTTGTATATGCCCCTTACAAACTTTAATATTTTTCAATCAAGAGTAACAAACTACTATATAGGCAACTTTGTGAGTGACACTCTATATTTTAATCTTTGTACCACAACACTAGTCTTTCTTTTGAAGGATGGTTGGCTATCTCCATTTTAATAGATTTTGATTTGGAAAAAAAAATCACCCTATTTTGAAGCTATTAGAATCATTTGAGTTATGCCAAATATGAGATCAAATTTTCCTTCATGCATCAAAATTTAAAAGGGAAGAGATAATATGTTAAAAAAAGATGTAGAAGTTGGGAGATTTAATGTGTTGACATTATGTAAATCTAATAGTTTTATATGTGGTTCTAAATTTTTTTTTATTTCATCATGTCTACTTAACTTATGTTCACTATCAATATGTTGGATGTAATGAACTCAACCAACTTATATTCATAATTAGATTTGTGAGAATATACCCCTAGAGAAACGTAAATCTTTTACATATCTTTGAGACATAATTGAATTCTTGAAGATATTGCCTCCTAATTAGTACATAATATATGACATGGATTTCTTCAGAACTCTTGAGATTTAAACATAAGGTTTTTTTTAGAAAAAAATATACTTTTTGAAACTTTTTATCCTTCTAAGATTAAAAAAAAAACTAGAGAAAATTGTATCTTTTGAGTAGGGGTGTCAATAATAGACATGACCGGTCAATTAAACTAAGAAATTTTAGGTTCAGGTCGACCTATTCTTGAAATGGGTTGGATTTGGGTGATATTTTGGCCCGTTTATTAAATGGGTTATCCTTCTAAGATTAAAAAAAAAACTAGAGAAAATTGTATCTTTTGAGTAGGGGTGTCAATAATAGACATGACCGGTCAATTAAACTAAGAAATTTTAGGTTCAGGTCGACCTATTCTTGAAATGGGTTGGATTTGGGTGATATTTTGGCCCGTTTATTAAATGGGTCGAATTCGAATTGATTGGAATTGGGTCAAGCAAATTTCATGTTTGACTAAAAAATGATCCGTCGACCCATTTTGACACCTCTACTTTTGAGGCTTATGCCTTTCAAAATTTTTAGAGAATTAGAGAAACTTATATCTTCTGAAGCTTTAGTTCACACAAAATAATAAGAAATATCCAATTCATGCTATGAGAAATAATAAAATCATCAGAATAATAATATTTAGCTATCTTCAAAAAATCACTTTCTCAATCTTGTTTCCGATAATCTCTTCCTTTTTTTATGATAGCAAAAATATTTATTGTTTGAATTACAAATAGCATGTCATCTCTCCTAAGCTCCCCCTTAATGAATAAATCTTAAACACCATGTGAAAAATAAAAATTTTTCCCTATTTTTTTAATTTAATTTTTATAATCGAATGCAAAATAATCTACATGACAAACAAACACAAAAATACAAACAATATAAAGACCCTAAAACAATCATGCACGGTACGAGACTAAGTTCACAATAAAACTTCAAACAAATATAACCCTAAACAAAACTCAAAGAACTTCAAATCAAATCATAAATAATTGTAACAAACCAAACACAAACAACCTGCCCCTTTTGACATCAATAAAAAGTGGGTAAAACTACAAAACAATCTCTTGAATATAAAAGTTCTTATGGACAAATCTAGATGTTGATAAGAAATATAATTTTAAAAAAATTGCACAGCATTAAAATCCTACAAGATTTATAAACTCATATTCTAAATTAAAGAACAAAAAAGAAAAAAAAAAGTTGATCATGTTCAATGTTTGTTCTAGAAAGCATAAAATTAAATAGAATAATTATCGCAAAATAAATGACAAGAAAAAAATTTCAAATTCAATAGTTGAAATTTTTGTTTAATGTATGGATTTTTTTAAGAATTGGAGATATAGGAAAAAGACACAAATGTAGTGTGGGCTTATTTTATGCCTCATATCAACTAGAATTAAGATGTTATCTCAATTGTATATCTTTTGATTTTGACTTTTGTTTGGCAAATATTGTGCGTCTTTTCAAGTTGTGGTCATTTTATGCCTCTTTACAGATTTGACACTCTTTGTGCATTTTTGACATTTTGTTCTTTCCACACCTTAAATCAAAAAATCTTAGCTTGTGCGATTATCTTCTAAATAAAAGAAAAAAAATTCTTGTATAAAAAAGATTAAACCACAAAACAAAATCTAATGGATAACAATAAAAATAATACTTTGAATAAGAAAGTAAGAAGAAAGAATGTTACATTTTTTGTAATAATTATAACTATAAGATAAACTTCTATTAGAATATGAAGATGTTCTCCTAATATAAATCCAATTTTAATATGATTTAAAGTGTGAGAAAAAAAAATAAGGATAAACTATTAGAATGCAAAATTGTTTTTTAAATTTTATCCTTTAAGTCAACATTTTGGATTAGTCAATAATAACTCACACATTTAAAGAAGATATAATATTTTTTTTAAATGTAGAATATAATCAAAATCGAATAAAAAGATCATAAAGAAAATGCGACAATTTTAGCACAAAACATCTAAATTAAACTACATAAATGAAACATTACAATCTTAAGACATGTTGGATGATCTTGGTATTTTGATTCAGTGTATGAACAAGGGGTAAATGTGATATGGAAGGTATACCCCTAAGAATTTGATTGACTTCTGACCAATTAAAATGACTTCTAGAAATTATGGAGTGTGCCCTAACTCCTTTTGTTCTAAGGTGCAGAAATGTTTCTAAATATTCCTTAGTAATCTCAACTCTTTGATGGAAAATATAGGATGACATTATCATATAGTTTTCTCTCGTTCTCAAATTGGCAATAAAATAATAGAATATGTCAGAAAGAATTGCATAATTCAGGGTGAGAATGAAGGAAAGTTAGGTAGAATCAAAGAGAAGAATGATTGACGAGAAGGAGTGATTTTGGCTTGAACAAAAATATTGTAGGGTTGTTCATTTTCTCTCGAGAGAAAGTTGCCATCCTCTTTGTTATTAGATGAACTTCCCTTGGTCTGATGAACTCTCTTACCTCTGTTAGCCATTTGAGAAGACTTAAACACAAGGATTGAAAATGGATAGGATTGTGAAGAAATTCAAGGAAAGGCTTCCAATTTAAGGGAAATGAATGATTTTGTATAGTATGAAACTAGGTTCATATGTATGATTGGGAAGTTCATATAGTATGAAATAAAGTTCATGCAGACGGACATTAACTGTCAATAATAGATATTTTAGTGAAATGACCTTCTGTAAAGTTATCTTTTCGAAGATTTGTTTCTTACGATCTTTGACCAACCTGATTGTATAGATGAATAGGTGTTTCATCTAGTATGATAAGTTAATAAATATCATACATGCTGGTTGAGTTTGTCTAAATGCAGATTGATAATTAGCTTACAAATGAACATGTGTTCATCCAAATGATGTTCAAAAATAATTATCCTTGGAAAGGCCACCATGTTCATATAGATGAATAATTGATGTTTCATACAAATGATGATGTGTTTGTATTATACGATCACCATAAAATAGAAATCAAAATTTCTACGTCTATTTAACTCAAAGAAGAAAATCATATAAAATATGGAAATTCATATAATATGAAAGTGGTTCATATAGTACGAATGAAAAAAAAATTATCACATGATGACTAAGATACTTTTCCAAAATAATTCAAACAAGATACACAACGCACTAAAAATAAAAACAAAAAAAGGATAAATAAAAAACAATAAATAGAGATATATCAACCAAAACAAACCGCAACAAACATTAAAAAGACAATAAAAAACAAAAATAAAATACACACAAACACAATTACAAAATTACAATTGTCATTTATGAATATCAATAACACCCAATATGGTTCAAAAGGTTCTGAAAGTTTCAAAAATATTGGTTTTGTGAAAATGTCTGTAAGTTAATTTTCTGTTGCAATATGACATAGCTCAATTTTATCTTTTATAACACGATCCCTAATAAAATGATGCTTTATGTCTATATGTTTACTCCTGGAGTGTTGAATTATATTTTTTGAAATACAAATGACACTTATATTTGTTGCAAATCTGATTTTATGATTTAGAATTTTGATGATAGCAAATATTCATGATTTTCTACAACTGCCATGCCTACTAACTTTTTAGGTCCACAAGATCTAGTGTAACTCAAGCCAGCTCAAGATTGAGCAGATTAGGTTTGAGTCAGCTTGTAATTTTTTCTTTCTTGAGTCTATTGTAAATAAAGAGGTTCCTGAAACTA